GATTTGTATGCAAAATCATTTTAGTGATGTGGACAGTGTTTCGTAGCCAGACAATCGCACTGTAAAGGATTGGCCGAAAACACTCGCACAAAAGCACCCAATGCAGACACGCTCCAAGACAGCAAGCACCTCGGGTTCTCTGGTCGCGACGACCAGCAGCAGTGGCACGGCGGCGTTGGCCCCGACGACCAGCAGCAGAGGCTTGGCTGGTGCTGATGTAGTACTTGGTTGTCGCGAGATTACTGTCCAAGACATTCGTAATGCGTGCGTTTCGTCGAAGACGTACAGAGCATACAAAGGAAGTTTGGCCTCAATTTCAAAATGGATTCGGGCTTCGAAAGGCGAGAGCGGATCGCACTACTTTACTGCTGATGGAGAGATTGATGTTGGAGTGTTTACGGCGCGGGATTTTGAGTCCTTCCTGTTGGAGAAGAGGAAGACGGTTAGTGTGGTGACTTTGAGTGGATATCGGAGTGCGATAAAGAATCTTTATCGTCGTCGGGACGTCCCTCTACCTATTGCGTACGAGAAGAGCATGGCAACCTTCTTCTCAGGGCTGAAGCGCATGGAAGCAACGCGCCTTCAGTCGGGATCTCCGAAGGAGTCAGGCAAGGACCCACTGCCGTTCTGGAGAAACTTGATGCAACGTATTAGCGAGGCGGCCTTGCAGGGTGGGTGCCAAATCACAGTCGACATGTCAGAACAAGTAGTAGAAAAAGTGTTTAGAGTAGGTATGCAGAACTTACCGCTTCTCGCTTCGACTCGAAAGCGCAGAGTATCAGAGTTATCTCTCGGAACAACACTACGGCAAGCTGCCCAAAAGTGATCTCGCAGCGCTCCTGTCTAATTGGATGAAATTAACAATGTATAAACCAATAGAAAATGCACCTACGTCGGATGCCAAAATTCCTACGTTTTTCCTAGATAAGTGAAATGCCGTGTTGCATTTCACCTGTTTGTCTCACTCCACCCGTATTTACGGTAAAGGGTACCTTTTAAGAAATTGACCATTTACCTTACTGGGAAAATAAGGTCTAGTACTACCGGTAATACCGCTACCACCTTTTTTTCTCAGTACTATTACTCAGCTGTGTGGAGATTACTAAGTACTGGTAGAAAGGCACCTAGTCCAGAGCGAAGTCTTATTGTAGCTGTTATTTTCTTAAGTCATTGTACATTTATTTGGTTTACCTCTACTGTATCATCTAACTCCTAACTAACGTTGATCTTCACGTCCAGTTCTAGGTGCCCACCTCGAGACGCTCTAGGTACCCACAAAACGAGAGATCCGCCTCCCGTTCCTGGAAACCCTAGGAAACCAGGACGCCAGCGATCCAAGTACAGCGTCTTACCGCCAAGTGTAGTGATATTCGACGTCCACTGGGCAGTGCCTCCAGCTTTAACGTCCACCTCTTCGATCTTATCACCCCCAGACATGATATTCACCGACACGTCTTTCGTATCGGTACTCGTGAAGTTGATAATTAC